AACCTGATGATTTACCGTGCCTACTAGCCTGGTACATAACATATCCATGTCCGCTCAAATGAGAGGACTGCGATGCTTTTCTCCAGTTGGCTTCAGCACGTCAGCCGTATTTTCTTTCCAGACAGTCAATGTGGCCGTAAGTTATGGTAAAAATCACTACTCTTGCCATTGCCGTTGCCAATCCTGTCTAACCAACACGCGGACGACGACGACGACGACGACGGCCTCGGCAACAGCAACGGCGTAACACTCCTGCTACTGCCACCACAACTATGACTTTCACCATTATACTTCGACGGCGATCACGACTAAGACCACGGTTACTACGGCCACTGCTACCAGACCACCCACCATCCTGCGCAGTTCGTTGGTTTGTTCTGAAGCCGATAAGCCGAGCTGGGTACATAGTCGCTCGACACCTTTCCGCGAGATCATGAGCCTCTGCAACACAGCGGCCTGTTGGCAAGTGCGAGGCTCAGTGCTGGGTTTTTGCCAGAAATAGTCTCCTGATGTAGGGATCTAAATAATCAATTACCAATACTATTTTGGGCTTCGTATTCTGAGTATAGCCTAGCATACAGTAGACTATACTCGCATACCCCAAAACCCCCATTCTAACTGTTAAGGCCCCGATATGATGCCAGTGAATCCAAGCTCAGATTCCCACAGCCTGTAGCATCGATCCACTAGTCCCCGAGACCCTCGAAGCTTGCAGCCTTAAGTCTGAGTTTTCTCAAGACCAGGAGCTGCTGAAAGGGCGTTGTGCAGTCAGGTATCGCTTTGCAGCACTCAGCCGAGACTGGGAGACTTTGAGCGGCGAGTTTTGCCTTTCTTTTCCAGGCCTTCGTTGTCAGCACCTTCCGCTGCTACCATTGGGCGTCCTTGCCCCAAGCTGAATGTTTAAGCAGAGAATCATCCTTCTGCAAGTCTCTTTAGGGTGGCGGCTTTTCGACAGTTCTCCAGCATGCTTCAAGACTGTTCTAAAGTGTGTCCGTGCTTGTTGGCAGCTGGTCCCTGCCGGCGGGAACGTCCCTCATGAAGTTACAGACATTCCGAAAGGGCTTGTCTGGGAAACTGGAGTTTAGACGTTACCTTACCGCACAACGGAGGGATGGGGTCTTGAGTTGTTATTGTTGACATGAGCAAGGCTGCTTACTTGAAATGCTACGCATTCTTGTCTTCAGGCCAGTGCATTGTCGACAAAAACTCGCCAAAAAACTCATCTGGCTTGTCCGACTGCGGGAATGTAAGGCCAAGTATAACCAGCTGTCCAGAATACTTGGCATAACGATCCTACTGAGCCTGGTGTAAGTGCTCGAAGCACCAACCCGAAACCTAAACAGCCAAGACGCCGTGAACCAAGATGTCCTATGCACCTCAAGTCATCCCTAAATGGGACCCCTAAACCCTAAACCCCTAAACCCTAAACCCTAATGCCAAATCTAGGCCGTGGCACGCACACCTGTGGAGGACTCGTTGAGTTTGGCGCAGAGGAGCTGGCGATTACGGCTCGAAGTGGTGGCACGACTCGTGCCTTGTTCTTCCCTGTTTAAAAGGGTTTAGGGCAGAAAAGCATGCAAGACTTCTGGGGTTTTAGGACACTCGTTCTGGGTTTGTGGCTGCAATTTTGCACTCAGCCTGTTCTTATAGCAACCTTAGCAAAGTGAGGTTACTTCTCTGACTTGCCGATTGACACGGTGCTGTTTTGCTTTCGTGTAACACCCAGACAGACAGACGCCCACCTCGACCACCCAGCCGCCTCGCCGGACTGCGAGTCACTAGTCAAGCCCGGAAAAAAGGGTTTTAGCCTAAAAGCCGTCGATGTCACGAAGTATGGTGCGATGTCAGCAACCCTGAGGTGACAACGTGTTGCATTCCTAACAGTGCTTCCTGGTTTGCTGTACCACGCTGCTGTACACATGTCAATCTGATGTCATGTGAGATGGCTTCAATGAGCTCTGGTGTTAAACCTTGCAGCATACGACATACTAGAATATCATCAAGAACTCAATCAGACGATTGCAACATATGACAAAGCCGAGTGCAACAAAGCTTTTATTGCCTCGAATGCGCGTAGCAAAACACGCTCGCACGCACACACACACACACAAACAAAGAAGATGCATTCAAGCAGGCACAACGAGGAACACACGAACTAATGGCAGACGAATTCAAACTGTCGTATAGAAGCGCCATAAAGTGCACTGTACACGTTAGAAGATTTGCGAATATGTTTCGCATGGAGAACATATGCACAATGTGAATAAGCAAAAGGCATGCAAATATATCTATTCATACTTATGCTATGTTTAGGTGTACTATTCATACTCGCGCTATGTTTAGGTGTATACATCTATGTATGTGTGCGAAGCAATCACGACATCATTGACAATAGCAGAGATCTCGGACAAAGTACCGAACAGAGCATAACACATAGCACGGTATGTGATATTACCATAGGCTGTAAAGGTGTACCGGCATCCCTCTGTACACAGAGGAGAAGAGAGAGAGAGAGAGAGAGAGAGAGAGAGAGAGAGACACCAGAGCGAGAGCGAGAGCGAACTTGTCGTTGGACTGCTTTCTGACGTATTGCCTGATAGCAACTGTTGTTTGATATTGAAGTGTAAGAAAAGCCGAGGTGCCAAAGAGGAACCAGCTGCCGATGGCCCAGAGTTCGCTGCGTCCACGGCGCATGAGAGATTCGAGACTCCAAACTCTAAACCCTACACCCCATAGACCCCTCTAGAAAAACCCTACACCCTCCGAGAACCCCAAGGCAAAGCCTCATATACCCTAACAGAACCCAGATAGAACCTTTATAGGGCCCTTATATAGAATCCCCTATAGAAGCCCTCTCAAAGTCCGAAGACACAAGCCTTTAGGGCCCCTATACAGAATCCCCTACAGAAGCCTTCTCAAGGTCCGAAGACACAAGCCTCAAAAGCGATCCTTTCCAGGTGGCTGGCGTAACCCAGGAGTCGCTCAGCCGCCTAACAGAGCTCTCCCTGCAGGTGGTTTGCGGGGTGTTGTTATGAGTTGTTCCGGTGTTCATACATATCTTGTTGGTGGTGTTTGTATGGTTTAGGGTTTACCGCCCTATCAAGCATTTTCGTTGAGTTCTAATCGGGGTTTTGCAACACGGAGCACGACATTTGCGATGACCCTGTGCGAAACTCCGCGCATTAGTCGACCCTCCACGATGACCTTCAGTTCCCTTTATGCGAGGAGCTTGCCAACAGGGCATGGTAGAATGCCACTCTGCAACTGGTTGACGAGCCCGTAGCGGCCTCAGTTGTTTTGCCTTCGAGGCTGTGCAGGGGGGGAGGGGGGCCGGGCAGGGCCGATGTGTGCAAAAGCATCGATGTATAAGTGTGGTCACTGCGAAGCATGCCCTCCCTCCGTAGTCTGCAAGCCACGCCCGGAGAACCTGCTAGCTATCAAGCTCTGGTCGCCAAGCGTGGCCTGGAACCTGTATTCTTGAAGCATGAAAGCGAAAAAACCTGCAATGCAGATTGCAGGCTGGAAAAAAACAGTGACTCCGAAACATCACCTCAAGAAAGGAAGGCACCATACATATGTCTATTAAGCTACAAGAGAGCTTCTAGAATAATATATGTATGTATATATATATACACATACATACATACATATTATATAGTGTGTTTTTTTGCCACTTCGGGCAATTTGGAAAAGCTGGTCTAGGCATCACAAGGACCCTAACTGCCAAGCCCTGGGCAGCCCTATGTGCCCTAGGGCTATAGACCATCGCCCTGATGAGGGTTTAATGTGTAGGGTTTAGGGTTGAGGGGTTTAGGGTTTAGAGGTTTTGGGGTCATGCCTGGGAGAGGGAGGGAGACAGAGAGAGAATGAGAGAGAGAGTTTTGGATAGTAGTGAACTACGGCATCTTTCAAGCATGGACATGACCCGAGCAAAGTCGATACTGTCGAATTCCTCTTGGGAAACTAACTGAATGGCTCCTAAACGAGGAAGCCCTGAGCCCTAGAGTTAAACCCCATACCCTAAGATCCTCCAAGAGTCCCGGCCTGCAGAGCCGACACGGTAAAACACGAAGACAAGAGACGAGGATGTGACCGAAGACGTCCCCGAGCGCTGTTATAGGGCTTTCAGAGCTTTGAGGGTTCAGGGGTTTACCGGAGTTGAGGGTTTTGGGGTTTAGGGAACCGGGGTTCAGGGAAGTTCAGGGTGTAGGGGCTCCGGCGTGTAATTCCGGGTATCACAGCTGTAATTCCCGGGTATCACAGCAAGCACAGTGCGAGAGCACGTAGGCAAGCCAGTGACAAACTCCCTTCGGTGTCTTTGCTGGTGTTTGTTTGCCCTGTGAACCCGCAAGCTTAAACCCTCAACCTTAAGCTGAGGACCCAAAATATGCCAGCAAGATGCCTCTAGGAAAGCACCTATAATACCTATAAGCTCTACACTGGCTACACGACATCGTGTGGCTGCGATGCGGACCTTCCTGGTGCATGATGGGGTTTGAGCCCTTTGGGGAGGTTCTGAGTTGCACACGTCCGGAACAGCAGTACGAATGGTGCCCTGAAGAGTGTTCAAGCAGTGGCCCTTAAGGGTTCCTTGTAGTGGAAACCCTCAAATAAAGGTGCAGAAACCTCCACGAGTCGATAGCATACTTATTCATGCACGCGAAAGCCCAATAGGCCGCTAGGCCCTGTAGAACCCTTGTACAACCCATATCGAAAGCCTGGTACAAATCCCTTCGAAGATCACTACAGGCTACACCGAGCTTCCCACACCGGGAGACCTTGTAGCCCAAGCGAAGGTTGAGGTTTGGGGTACTTAGGGTATGCAGCAATCAACACACATAGCTGTGAACCCGAAACCTGAAACCCTGGCCCTGCCTAAACCCTGAACCCTAAACCCTAAACCCTAAACCCTAAACCTTAAACCCTAAACCCTAAACCCTAAACCCTAGCCCACTTTGCCAAAGGTGCCAGTGGCAACTGCCTCGCGGGCCAAAGTGTTAATGCAGGCTGCGGCCTCGGGTGGCTCCGATAAGGCATAGCAGATTTCCGTACTTTTTGCGAACTTCGAAGGTTTTTGAACCCTAAACCCTTAAACCCTGAACCCTGAACCCTAAAGCTGGGCGGGTGGAGAAAAACAAACCCTGGAGCCTTGCCTGCTTCCTGCGAGAGCGAGAGTCGAAAACCCTCAACTTTCGGCCTCGCGACATTGGAACCATGGGCTTTCGTTCTTCCAATCGCTGGGCTTTGGGTCTTGGGGTCGGGTTCGGGCAATATAGGGGTTGGGCAAAAATAACACTAATAAAGATAGTGAAAGTTATTAGTATTATCATTTATTCATGACAGTAGTACCAACAATAATATCCCTCTCTTCGTCACCTTATAATTGGATGTCATATACCCTCAAGACAACATGCTAATTCTCAGAGGCGGGGGTCTACCTTAAAGCAAGCCCGAGCGTGTAGTTTTCCAGTTCGCTTGCACTTGCATGTTCCTGTTCTGTCTGTTGGCAAATAATGGCGATCGCAAAGAACCATCCATATGTATATGTATGTAAGTATATATATATATAGACGTATGATGGAGCAGAGGGAAAGGTATGAACGAGATATCAGGTGGAAGCGTCTTAGTCTTCATCACCAAACGTTTGTGGGGTCAGGCTTCTGGACGTTGTAAAGTGTTTACTTTCCAAGTTGTGCCTGAGCTTTGGATGCGCAACGCGCATGAGTTTGGAGCATTCAGACACGAGGGCTGAAGCTGCGGCGAGAGGTGGGCATGAAGGCATGTCACTGCAGCCCCATCCTCATAAAAAGGGCTTCTGGATGTTAGGTTGTGCGGTAGTTGAGATATGGCCGGTTGCGCTGTCGTATGTTCTTTCTCAGATTGAGCGAACTGTGCGCAGCAAGCTTTGCAGTTAAGTTAGCACCCTTATCAATTGATCCACATTGAGCAGACGAGGAGCTGATACAGTCGCCGCCGCGAGAAAGAGGCGGAAGTGATCTTTTGGGAGAATCTTGCAGAGGCCTCGGTTGACAACACTAATGACGGCCATTGTCTGAGAGATAGCCGCAACAACAACTCATTTCTATCGGAGCTTCCTGATGCAGAGAGCAAGAACCATGTACTCAATCCTCTCAGCTTCCACGCGAGAGGAAGTAAGAAAAGCTAGCTGGTTTCAGCAGTCTCGGGCTTTTCATTTCTGGTCGAAGCCGGTCCCTTTGCTGTAGCTCTGCAGCTGAAGCAGTGATGTAGAAATTACTGTAATGCTGCTGGCCGTCGTCGTTGCAATCTTTTTCGGTGACGCCGCGGCAGCATTAGCGGTCACTGGCAGTAGTGTTTGCACCATTTTGCTTGGCAGTTGCTCGAGTGTATGCGCCGTGGGTTCGTAGCACACTGTGGTGGCAAGTGGAAGGGTGTGGTTATCAAGAGTACAGTACATCTTCAAACATTGGCCGTTGCCGTCTTGATGCTAGCCATAGATATAACTTAACCCTAAACCCTAAACCCCTTGCGTGAGCGAGTGTGTGGGTCGAAACCCCTAAACCCTAAACCCTAAACTAGCCCCATGGGTCAAGCCCAGGACCCCTGACCCCTTCCACTCCGAGCCCGACATGGCATGCAGGAGATGAGATTCACGGGGCAGCTACGCCCATCTTGTGCTTGGTGCCGCGGGCTCGGAACCTTCAAGGAATGGGTTGTAGAGGAGGAGGGACATCACAGGCAGCAGACGAAGAGTACAGATACCGACATAAATACACACGTATATACTTATCGAAAGAAAAGAAAGATAGATTCTGATAGATCAGATAGATGGGATCGTCGTGTCGTTCACTGAGTGTTAATGGTTGAACTTTGCAGGGCACAGGATCCCTAAATCGACGTCGGACGTCGCTGCGTTTTGTGGCTGCCCACTGTGAAGTTAGTTGGAGATGTCGGAGGGCTTGAAGGTTTTCGGAAGTCGAGGGGATGAGACACGCTTCCGGTGCCCTCCATCCTGTCCCGACGAGTTTCCTTCTGGCATCTGTCAGTATGGCGACATTCTGGTCGGTACTCCGGTCTGCCTTCGAGCAGACTCACACCCTGTTTCAGACCGAAACCTTAAAGCCCTAAACCCTAAACCCCTAAACCCTCAACCCTAGACTTAAACCCTTTCAAAAAGAGATCTGGCAACAGGCAGGCCTTCACGGACCTGGGACTGCCCGGTCCCTAGCCAGAGGTTGTGGGCACCTCGTGCTAATTTTTTTCACGGCTATGCTGGAGTGTCCGAAGACTGCGCGTTGAAGCCGGGTTCACAACTCGATGAAAAGACCAGGTTTGACGACGATCTCGACTTATGTGCTGCCGCAGCGCCGCAACCTCATTTGCCGAATCGATGTGCGAGAGGAAGAGAGGGCCGATGAATAAAGACGACATTGCTTTGAGGCCTATGTTTGTGAGTGTTCGTTGGTATCAGTGTCACAACACGTCTTGATCTTGGCTCCCCAATTGTACGTCGCAGCTTGCGTAAAACATGTCTCCATGCAACTCAGAATGCCCCAGCATTTTGAAAGGCTGCAGCATCTGGGACGTGAACTGGATGCAGCTCGGCCGATCGGATGTGTATGAACTGTGCGCCGGATGGTTTCTTGATGGCATGTGCGACAGACACTAGTCCTGCCATTCCACGAGCCACCTATTCAGCTAGCTGTCATTGTGTTTCCGATTATCGAAAATGGTAGAGACTGTGCCACGAGCTCAAGCACCAAGCTCATGTTTTGTGCAGAGAGATGCGCTGATTCATCTTCAGTTCCCTGGATGACTGTGCCTCCAACCAAGCCGTCACTTTGTCCACAGGCGATGCATACAAAAAATGAAGCTTGGCAGCAGGTTCATTGGGGGCCGTTCTTTGCAGAATCTGCGCAGGAGTCGCGTAGGCGCAGGTGACGGCCCGTGAGCAGGGTCCCGTTCGGGGTGTCTCAAAGCACTGAATGACGCCACTGTCAGTCTGAGGAGCCCGATGAACGTTTGGGGAGGTTGGGGAAGAGGGTTTAGGGTCTCATTTCTCCCCTTCTGCAAATCTCGCTTCGTTCATCTGGGGCCCCCGAGGCAACAAACAAGGTAATTAGAGTTCAGTTTTGCAGCTGGTGCTGATGCAACAGAATGAACCGACAGAGATCCTCTCGGGATCGGGATAGTAGAATCATGTAGCATCGTTCTCAACATGCGGATTATGAGCATCCCTTCAAATGAGGCACACCCAGAAACAAGAGATCACCCACATTCAATTCTTCGGCTTCAGCCAGCAAGAACTAGTGCTGCAGTCGCTGGTTACCTATCAGTGGGATTAGTGACGAGGGCAGGGAGGAAGGTTGAATGGGCTGGATGCAAAGCTGAAGCCCGAGTAACTAGTTCTGAGCCTCAAAGAGCCTACTCTCCTTAATCTCCTTGACCCCTAAACACGCCAAACTAAAACCCAAAACCCCCAAACCCCCAAAACCCTAAACTAAGCTGTTGAAATCATCGGGCACCAAAAGTCTGTATCTTAAGCTACTGAAACCTGACAGACATCCCAGCACCGAGGATGTGCACCATGACGGCCTTGCTACTAGCGAGCAGGACTTGCTGCGCCTCTCCACGGATTTTAGAGCGTAGGAGTTGGGAATAGCTCTTTCAGATTCCGGGTTGAGTGCAAGGGCTTATGCATTGGATTTGTGAACATGTTTATGAGATTTACATAGGTTTGAGAGCTTTTCGCATGTCGGTCCGGGTGCAAAGATGCTGCCACCTGGATATCACTTTCCCTGCCCCTGCCTAGTGAGGCACTTCGGAGAGACCTCGTTCAACAAGGGTTACAGGATGTCGAGGGTGTTAGTGGTTTAGCGCAGCTTAGGAGTTATGATGCAGTTCGAACTCGGATCAGATTCTGCTTGCAGGAGCCACCAGCAGGGCAGCCGCATGTGCGAGCCACGGAATTGCTTCAGGGCTTCCGGCATAGTCGCTGACTTAGAATGTAGGGCTTACTTTATGTAGGCTTCAGGTTTTAGGGTTCGGGGCTTAGGCCTTGTGTCTAACCTGCAGAGGTTCACACTGTTGGGAAGAAAGGCACGTGGAGGCTAAAGGATATCTAGGTTGAAACCGGCCAGCCCTTTTGCGAGCCTGGGAGAGTGTTTAAGGCTCAGTGAGGGGCCCCAATACATACCTGCATACCCCGAAGCGCAGGATGCTCGTTACAAGGACACCTGAATCGGAAGCCCTAGTTTAAAAGTCAAGAGTGCTCCATAAATCCACCAGACAGACCCCGGCTGAACATACCATAGAAGCCTGCATAATTACCTACATGCTTCCTTAGGGCCCCAGGGGTCCTTATTTCAACTATACCACAACAGAGCCCAAAACCCTATTTTAAGTATGAAGGTCCCATATATAGAACCCTAGAGTAGATCGCTGTTTTGAACCCTTTAAGGATCCCTTTAAAGGAACCCCTATGCGAATTATGAAGGCGGGTTTAGGATTTAGGATTTAGGGCTAGGGGTTTTAGGGTTTAGGGGTTTAGGGACGCTGACTTTTCTCCCGAAGCAGGCTCGCTCCAAAGTGGTCTCATCGTGACTGCTACTTCGCTTCTTACGCCGGAACCGACATTCGTGACACTATGACCTGTCAACCTAAAACCCACCGGAGCCCTACATGAACCATTCAGGCGCGGTCCGTTTAAAATTTAGGTGCCCAGAGGAAACCCAGCGACTTCAACCTTCGACCCCAAAATCCCGAACCACCTGATGTCCAGGTGGGAGGCAAGAAGCCCTAGATCCCTACACCCCCAAAATAAGCTAGAAGACCCCACACCCCTAAGCCCCTAACTTCTTAAACCTACAGGCACAAAGCCTAAATACACTCCCAAAAAGCCCTCAACCGCGAACTTTTGAACCTTAAAAGTCTTACCGTTCAACCTAAAAAACAATTCAAGTAACACAATCTAGCATACCCAAATGCCCTGTTTTTTAGAAGAGCAGCATGTAAGGTGCCCGAATCCATAGACCCTAGCTTCCAGGTGCAGTGGAGCAGCCGTCATGTTAGCGTGATCGTGAAGCCACCGGGCTGGTCAGCGCTTGGTCTGCAACAGCATGCCCTGATGGACGGTTTTTTAGTCTGAGAGAGAGGGAGGGAGAGAGATAGAGCGAGAGAGAGAGAGAGGGAGTTTTTAGGGATGCGATTGAGGGATTTTCAACAATGCTCTTCACGTGTTGAGTAAAGGTCTTGAGTATAGGATGGTGGTCTGTGGTATGGTCTTGCAACTGATCGCTTCTGCGCAATCTCCAGAACTTGCTCCTTGCTTCGTCTCGAGGGGGTACCAAAGATCTCATGTGCACCTCTCTTCCAGCAGGCTGGGTCGCTGCCTCACCTAGTCAGAACCATATATTCAGGATGCTCGGTCAAGGGGTACTTCTGATCTTCAGCAAACTGTTCGGTCGACCTGTGTCTGTGTAGAAGATTTGTAGGTTTGATGCTGCCTCTGGGTTGGGATGAACTTCCTGTTGTAAGATCGCCGTACAACTGGGAGGAAACTTTGCCATGCAAGTGGAAATCCAGCACTGGAGACAGCTGGTGCGTTCTGAGATTTGCTGCGCTGCTTTTGTGGCTTCGGTTTGGAGTGAGTAGTTCCTGCGGTTTTAGCATTCAGCGCCTTCCCTACAGCCGCATACCCACCGAAGGCTCGCTAAACCCAAAAACCCCCAAGCACCCAAACCACCCATAAGCTGGAAATCCTGAGGGGTTCCCCAAGGACCCTGAGGCAAAGCCCTAAAACCCTGAACCCTTGACCCTAACCCTATGTAAACCCTAAGGCCTTACAGCCCTACACCCTAAACCCTGAACCTAAAACCATAAAATCCTAAACCCCTAAAGCCCTAAACCCTAACCCCTAAAGCCCTAAACCCTATGGGTTTTCCATGGCAAGCCGAGGTCTTCACGAGTACAGACGTGATGGTGGGAGCAAAGTCAGACCCCCTGCAGAAGCAAAGGTTAGATAGGGCTTTGCCGTTCAGGGGTTTAGGGGTTTAGGGGTTTGGCGGTGGTTTAGGGTTTAGGGCTAGGGGTTTAGGGTTAAGTCATGAAGCTTATGGTTTTGTAGGTTTTCGGTGGATTTTGGAGGTCTAAGGGCACGGAAGTATCGGGAGAGTTGCGGCTACAGCGGGCCTTTGAATACATGTGTGCGTATGGTTTTTTCCAAGATACTAGACTACATAGACATATACCGATGCCCGGACAGGTGCATTCATTACACAGATCACCTCCTTCTTCCTCGAACGTCCGACAGCTCAGAAACACTGTCAAGTTCAATGCTCGCATGGCAATGATCAACGTGCAGATCGCGACTAGTTCTTGAATGAATTCTATTTGTAGCAGAGCATAACGCATGTTTCAAGCCGCTCGCCACAGACCTTAAAGTTTGCATTGCTGCATTGCAACTAGATGCGCATAGGTAGCGAGGGGAGCATACAAACCAGCGCAGGGACCAGTATCCCCAAGCTGGCCCTACAACTGACTGGAAAGCCCTGCACCTTTCAGTCTGCTTGTAATGTCGAAACGCAAAGCTGTAGGTTCAAAACCAGTCTATTCTCAGTTCCATGGTCCCTAAACCCGACTCCCTAACTCCCATTCCATGGAACATCTACATACCGCACTACGTACTGCTACTTCTTGCCAAGTGGGTGACAAAAAAAACTATTGCCGACGTCGATTACTACTTCCTACTTCGGTTCCCACTCGTACTCCTAGTCCTATCCTACGTACCAATCCCTACCCCATTCCTGTTCCTGTTTCCACTGTTGCACTACCAGCTCTATCATAGTTGCGACGGCTCAGAAAATCCCGCCTTGTAACGTCTCCTGCGGGGCCATGTGTGAAGGCTGTGGCTGCAACCGGCCTGCGAAGGTCACGGCGGTGGTTGGGGCGCTGGTCTTGCTACTTGGAGTCGCCCTGCACATCGGAGGCGTTGTTGAGGCCTGGCGCATGTTTGGGCAACGGATGCTCGTGGACGGAAAGACGCACTTCACCGTAACTGTACGGGGCGATATCGACCATGACGATGCCAAGTTCGTATTCTACTCAAATGTTACGGAAGACTGTAAGCAGCGTGCCGAGTCTATTGTCATCCGCCAGACCTATACCAAGGAATTCTTCAGTGTGGATTCCGACTGTTCCTCGTCGCTCAGGGACGGATATGACTGGAAGGGCCAGGACCTGGTGGCATTGGGCACATTCGCCCCAGGACGACATAACTATGGTGGTTTTCAGATTAGCACCTCATATCCAACCTGGGTGGTTGGTGTGGGACAGTCCACACACCCGTATAGCCGAATGGAGGAGCATACAACGATTGCTCTGACTATGAGCGGGCTCTTGCTGGGCATCGCCGGTTCCATCACACTCAAGGTCAGCTTGTGCCTCATGTGCTGCTGCTACCGGCCGGCAAAGTAGATGCGAGGGAGGCGTTACTGGCGTTGAGTCAAGATCAGCTTCTGCAGGTGGTGCAGGCTCCAGGTGCTGTGGCAACTCCCATCTTGGCTGAAGCGCTAGATCCGTAAAGTCGAGCCATGTACAGATGCTGGCTTTTCATTTCGGGCTCTTTTGTATTGAGTAATTATTGCAAGCTGTAGCCAGCTGACTGGTCGCAGTGCCTCCGAAGGAAGTGGCACGTTCTTATTCCTCGGACAGTAACATTGAAGCGCTTCATGCTTCCATGGGTAGCCCGGTGCACATGTTGCTAGGCAGGTTGCTCTTTGAAGCCCGTGGTGTTAGGCGTGTGCAACAAGCAGCGTGTGCCCTGGGCCCAGGCCCAGGGCAGATGGCAGTTTCAGAGAATGGGCTTGTATAGAAATTTGGTATAATCGTCATTGTGAGGCCCTGGGTAACTAGTATGGTGCCCTGACGTTTAAGAACTCCTGGTTCAAAACCTTATCAAACCTTCTAACGCCCTGCTCAAGCTTAAACCTCAGGAAACCTCTCTTTGGCTGTTCGGGCCGAGTTGCCCAGGCCCAGCTCGGCAGAACCCTAAGCCTTGAAGCCCCTAAACATCCTAAACCCAAAGCCTAAAGGCCTAAAGCCTAAGGCCTGCTAAGCAGGAGAAAACAATGGGGGAAAAAAACCAAAACCAAACCCAAAATCCAAACCTTAAGCCCTAAGGCCACAAACCCTAATACCTTCAAGAAACCAGTTTGTGTCTTAAGACCGCCCGGAGTGGGCTTTCGGGCTTTCGGGCCTACCATGCTGCAGCCAACCCTGAATCCGTAAGCAAGGCTAGCCCAAGAACAGCAAATATAGATGTCGAAATAAGCAGCAATAGTATTCCCTTATATTCCTTGTTAGGCCTGTATGGTCCTATGACTCTATATACTCTATGATAGTGATCTACCCGAAGGTTTTTTTTATAACTAGAGTTACTTCATTTATAACCCTAGCTACTAAGTTCCACGATCTGTCAACATCAGTTCTCATAACTCAAACCCCGGAGCCCTTAAAGCCCTATAGTACCCTTTCGTTTAAACCTTCGCAGTCCCAGCAAGTAAACACTTCCAGTCTGGGCTGTTCATCCCTGCATCGGGCAACCGAAAGTCTGTGAAGAGAGGGATGCTGAACCCCTAAACTCAAGCGTGCACACCTGTACCTTCTATATCGACGCTAGCAGGGCAAGTGGGAGATCATTCTTTTGTTAAACCTGCTAGACTGAGACTTTGACATGTGAATTCTCTTTAAACCTGCTAGACTGCGACTTTGACATGTGATTGCTCTGTGCATGATGGTTCAAAAGTGGGTTACTGAGCCTCTGAAAAGGCCCCTGTCGTGTTTAGGAAGGTTGCTGAACAAATCGCCCGGGGGCGAGCCTGAAATCCAGGAATTATTCAGTTTTTCTGTGTAGCTTTTTTTTAAGTTTTCTTTAGTCTTGGTTCAGTTTTTTCTAGTTTTGTCTAGGCTGTTTTGGCTTTATATAGGTTCTGCTTGTTTTCTTCCGTTTTGGTGTTTTCCTTACTGTTGCTCGATTTTCCAGGCGTTGTGTCGTGTCGGTTTTCTTCGGTTTCGGTAAGTCTTCCTTACGGTTGCTCCATTTTCCAGGTTTTCAGATGCTAGAGTCTCTTGGGGTTTAGGGTTTAGGGATCCAAAGAGTCTGGAACCACTCTCTCGGCCATCAATGCCGCAGCCCAAGGGTAACCCTACTATAGACGACCCACTCAGGCACCTCCTCGACCCTTTCCATGTTTTTTTTTGCAACATGCGACCAGGAGCCATGGATTTACATATTTAGCTTTACTTAGCTTCTTTTTGTTCATGTTGTTTGGTTTTCCTTAGCCTCCTCAGCGTTTAGCCTTTCTGGGCCCATATGCTGTGACATTCACTGTCTTTTCCTGTACTGTTGAAAAAAGCCCCAGTCATAGAAAGTACAGATGTGCAGGCATGATACAACCCCAAACCTTGGCCTGCTGTTAGAGCTTGTTCTGTCTTCGGTGATATGGATGCATGAGGGTCGGCGTTTGGAGGTCAGTGCTCCGATTCGGTGGGTCGGAGGTTTCGGGTTCAGGGTTTCAGTGGTTTGCGGGGCTTCAGAAAACTAGGGGCCTGAATTTGGACCCTGAAGAGTCACTGGGCAGGAATTCAGCTCTTCTTGAAAAGCACCCTAAAGCTATTGATAGAAGCCATGTAGAATCCTAGGTCCTAGAAATCAAAACCCTGGAGAAAATTCTGGACAAAATCACAAGAAAGTTCTTTCCTATGCTGCACCCTGTGGCTGGATGTCAGGCACCTCGTTTCGTGGGTACAGGCCGCCCCTGCATTCCTCGCAGGGTTCTGGGTACAGCGCTCCACATGCGCAGTGCTTTGGCTACTCTACTTGAAGGTTCATGGGTGTCATAAGTGGGTCTATAAGTCCTCTAATGTGGGTAACAAGTATAGCTACCAAACTTAATTAGCCCCACTTATGGCTACCCATAAACCTCCAAGTAGAGTCTGGGGATGTAGTGGTTGAGTTGTCACGCTTGGGTCGCCGACAGTCGAGACTTGACATGAGAGTCTCCGTGCTCTTCTTAATTTCAATCTTGTATATTGAATCGCTGCAATTGCTTCTCCAGATTACTATCATCGCTATATGCTCTAGTTGATGTCTCAGTAAGCCCGAAACAGTAGCATGGTTCCGACATTTACCTGGCTGCTAGATACCCCTAAGCCCTAAGGCCCTGGGCCCCAAGCCTTAAACCGTGGAGCATGCCCCATGCAAACTGTTGGCATTGAAGTCTTCTTGAAAACCCTAAACCCAAAACCCTAAACCCTGAACCCTAAACCCTAAACCCTACACCCTAAACCCCTAAACCCTAAACTCTAAACCCTAAACCTTGAGACTGGGACAGGCATTTTGTCGCCTGCACCTCTGCCAGCGCCTATATCCCCCTAACCCCTATATAAGCACTATATAAATCCGACATATTGTAGACATTAAATCTTAAACCCTGAGCCCCCATATACATATACATATACATATATATATATATGTATATATATATTGCGTATACACACACATATATTTATGTATTTATGTTTGTGTATATACATACGCACTTGCACATCCATGTATATATATATATGTATGTATGTATACATTGAGAAATAGAAACAGATAAAATGAATATTACTTCTCACTTCAAAATTCCTCCTAAACCCTGAACCCTAAACCCTAAACCCTAAAAGTGGCAGGCAAAGAGCCGACAGCCCATCGTCCGCGATCGGCAGGCCGACTACGGCCGGAGCCTCGAACTCCCAGGGCTTTTTAGAACGTCTTAGGTCTTAGGGTTTTATAGATGTTTCATAAGGACTTCTGTGGTTTTCATTTGGTTTTGGGGTTTCTATGAGAGCTCTACATTTTTCAGTTTCAAGTCGTTTCTGCTGAGGTTTAGGATTGTCGTGGTAAGGCTGTCTCTTGGGGGGTAGATCCGATTAGGCACCGGTGGTGGAGTTTGACCGTGGAACTTGCGCCCTAAACCCCTAGGGTGGGGGGGGGGGGTCCGAGAATCCCAAGCACACTGAAAGTGAATCGCGAAGCAGTGGAGACTTAAGATGAGTTTAAGGGCTTAGGGCTTTAAGGTGTAGGGTTTAAAAGGTTAGGGTTTCAGGCTTAGGGTTAAGATGCAAAGACCAAAATAAAGTAAGCCGGCGGCTTAGTGCTCAGGGTCACAAGCCCCAAACCCTGAACCTTAACTGCTATTCTGCAAGACATATGCAGGCTAGCAGCCCGGGAAGCAGCCCCGAGAAATCCTCAATATCGGCGTCGGAATAACAGAAATTATGATGATTACTAGTCGTAGATACAGTGGCAGTAGGAGTAGTAGTAGTAGTAGTAGTAGTAGCAGCAGTAGTAGCAGCAGCAGCAGCAACAGCAGCAGTGTTCCCTTATAGCGCCTTCTACCTATAGTATACTAAACCCCCACAGTTCAGGGTTCCAACCCGCGGTGCGGAGGGGTGGGGGGTCGTGGTTTACAGCTTCGATGTTTAAGGATTTATGTTTTCACCCCACCTCACCCCCCCTTCCTCGGAGACTTCAGGCTTCGTGCATCGCTTGGACCGGAACACGTCGGGATCCCTCTTGGTGGCACAGTGCCATGGCTCAAGTTAGAAGTTAGAAGACACATAAGTATTTTGGGTTGAACTAGCTTTGACCTGAACTTCCCAACTTCCCAGGTCTCCCCTTGAGGGCTTCAAGCCCTGCCGTTGATCGGGGTGCGTCGTTTGGGATATCTGCGAGGACCCGTAAACACCAAAGTCTTGAACTCGTATGTTGACGGTGCAGATTCCATGAAGCCTTCCGTGGGACATGAGTCTTGTGATCATCCAAACCCTGTCTGCAAACCTATGAGAGTTCACACTCTCGAGTGCGAAGCACGTTTTCTCAAGCAAGTCCCAGTGTGTTGCTGAGCACCAACACTCACGCAGGAGAGGGTGGTTTCGACGCTATCCTTCATTCACAAAGCCCCTCACCCACGAGCCGTAACCGCCCAACACGACGCACAAGCTAAAACCTCAAGCCACGAAAAGAAGTTGCAGCTTCGTTCGGACTTGTCGTGCAGCTTTGCCTACCTTGTGCGAGTGCAAGAGTCCTTGTCCCAAAGAGTCCATGTCCCAAAAGGATTGACAACACCAACACCGTCCCCCTCCGAAAAAACATAAGCCTTAAGCCAAGGAGCTACGAGGGCTATTTCGCAGCAAAGCTCGAGTTCAATGCCCGCCGGGTTTGCATCTCATTGGAGTGCTTCTGGGGGTGTTTTCGGGTTTCAGGGTTTTTTTGAAGGGTGTGCATTTAGGGGCGTGGCTTTCGGCTTCATGGGCTTCAGGGCTCGTAAGGCTTTTGGGTCTATGTTTTTGCTAAACAGAAGTTTCGATTTCAGAGCAGCGGGTCTCATAATCGACCCCGAGTACATGATATTCAAAAACCCGTGCACTCCCCTTACACCGCCCAAAAGAAATGCGCAACCTCAAGCCACCACCATCTAGAATGTAGAATTCAGGCGCAGCCAGAAAAGCCGAAGCGCTTCGTACTTCATAGGTTTGGGCACACAGAGTCGGGTCGGTAACCTGTATGCTGTGGACTTTGGACGACTTTAGGCAGGGACGGTTGCAGCTCTTGGGTTCAACTCCCGAAGGGTCTCAGGACTAAATGTCGCAGGGTTTTTTCCGTCTGTTTCACCCTGGGGGGAATGGGCGTCGAAGTACTTTTGAAGCTTGGATGATGTAGACTTTTGGGCTGTTCAGCCCCAGCCTGAATACCTTTAGACCAGGGCTAGACCCTCCATCTACGCCATCTATCCCAGGGCCCTGGAAAAGCGCAGAATCACAGATGACTTCCAGATATGTGGGTACATGCATGCGGTGGGAAGAGCCTGTGAGTCTGGCTGTTTCGTGAGACCCTGATGTTGATGTGCTCTTTCGCGCCCCTGAGAGGGTTCTTACAGACTTGGAGATATATGGTATGGTAGCAACCAAAAGACAAAGATTTTTCTTCCCCACATGTTCCAACACGCTGTTCCGAGGTCACAAAACAGTATGTGGCCCTGTGCGAGGGCCATTTCCCAAAGGACGTCAGCTGCAAGTGCGATATGCATGGTGGTTGGTCCCGCAAAGCCCTACGTAAACCCTCAACATCATATTACGGCTCAACATCATATAAAAGATTGGATGAGGCTCATCCACAGGCTGCTCCTGGCAGAGGAGCTTCCTGCTATGATAGCAGCAGTCAAAAGAAATGGGGGGAAAAGCGGCTTGAACTTCAACTCCAGAATGGTGCGCTGCACGTACCTTCAATTCAAAACCCCAAACCCTGTACCATGCAGTTTTGTTGGGTTTGAGCGATCGCTGATGTGCGAGCATGCTGAAGGCTGCCTCGACTGTGCACTGCGCAGGCTCGAAATGAGTTCTGCTTGAATGTGTTAGGTTGCTTTGTTGCCCCTACAACCTCGCCTGACTCCGTCGGATGCGGATGCCAAGAGAACCCAACAAATCGAAACGTTACACCCTAGACCCCGCACCCTACAACCCGAAACCCCAATCCCTGAAGCCCTAGAACCGAATCCCTGAACCCTGAACCCCTAAACCCCCAACGCCCGACACCCTAAGCCTTAAACCCTGAAGCTCTAAGCCCTGCACCCCTCGAGCCCTAAAGCCCCACACCCCAAACCAACTAGAGTCCTATAATCCCTAAACCCCAAACCCCTAAAATCTTAAAAGCCCTACACCGTAAACCCTAAACCCCAAACCCTAAACCCTAAACCGTTTTTGAGGACCTGAGGATGCTAAGTTTCCCGCTTCTGACGGTCGAAAGTTCTCCAGGTGCAGCCTTGGGCATCTCGGGGTTAGGCTTTAGGGTTTTGGGTTTATAGGTTCTAAGGTTTTGGGATTGGGGCTTAGAATTTAGGGTTTAAGCTTTAAGGCGCAGGGTTTAGGTTTATATGCTCGAAGGTTCCTGGCAGAGTCGTTGCAGGCCGGTTGCATAAGGCTTGAAGGTTGAGGTTTGTAGAGGTTCAATTTTCAGGGCTTGAGGTTTGGGGTTTGGCATTTGGATTTTAAGGTTGAGGTTTAGGTTTCCAGGGTCTGAAGCCATTGGTCTGGGGCTTAGGATTTAAGGTTAAGGTCTAGGGCATGAGATTTGGAGTTTGGGCTTTGGGGGTGTGTGAGGGTTAGGTTTGGGGCTTAGGGCCTAGGGTTCGGCGTTTGGGGTGTAGGGTTTAAGGTTCAGGGTTTGGGGTTTGGGGCTTGGGCTTTAAGGTGTAAGGTTCAGGTTTGCAGGGTCTAGGGTGTAAGGGTTTGAAGTTTGGAGGTTAGGCAACAAGTTTTCAGGCAGAGAATGCAGCATTAGGGGAAGCAGACACAACAGTACAAAACCAATTCTGTAGAAGATGCAGGTTCATTTTAATACAGATCCATCCATCCATCCATCCATCCATCCATCCATCCACCAGGCACACAGCGACAGACGCAGGAGCACTATCCGACATCTATGGGTAAATGTATGTAAGCGTATGTCTACGCATATGTGTACACAGCTTTGTTTAGTTAGACCGGCAGAGAAAGAAACTGTTATTCTGCTTGGCTGTTATAGGATTGTACATGCCACGGCGCGGGAGTAAGTTTCCGATGTGGACCTAGACGACCTGGCTTCGTTGGATCTCCTGGTATGCAGTGCCACGATCACAGTTATGGTGGGAAGTCTTCCTTTAGCAAACTCGGGCTGTGGGAAGAAGCTCCAGGCGGTTTAAGTTGTTAATGTTACGTTTCATGGGCGCAGGTCGCAACGACATGTAGTGAAATCCTTGTGCACGACTTGAGGAGGCCCATTTTCCCCGCCCTTGCTAAGTAGGAAACCAAATTGCCCTCAAACCTCAAGCCCTAAAAACCCTAAACGAGTGGAGGCACTTTTCGAAGCCTCGTCGACGAAGCGGGCCAGCACGCGAGAACAGAGGTGGGCCCAGACTGGAAATCGTTACGGGGACCAGATTTGGAAGGGGTGGAGGGTTTTGCAATGTTCGGGGTTGGGGGTGTAGGGCTTTAGGGCTTTATGGCTTAGGTCCTTAGGACTTGAGGAGTATAGGGGCTGAGGGGGTTCCGTTTTTGGAGATGGTCTTTTGCATTGTCGCCCTGGTTATGCGGAGCGTTTCAATTGTGTAGAAGCTGTCTGCATGCACCAGACCACTGAAGTATGGAGCCGGCACTGGGCTGAATCCTAAACTCAATCTAAAGCCAGCTGCGTGTGCTGGGCTTAGCAAACTCGGCTCCGATGTCGGAGGGCCCCGCAAAAAAACACACACACACACACAAACATCCTGATACATCCTGGAAAGACGATCCCACATACGGACACGTTACTCAACATAGGGATCTTAGTCACCAGAGCCGGGCTTTGCTGCATATGATGTCGTTATTGTCAGTAAGCAACCCCAAAGGGAGGGTATTCTAATTATAAAGGCCCTTATACTATTGGCCGCAGGGCTTGGGCAGAAACGATGCAGATTGGAACAAACCCGAAGTAGCCCCAGCTCCAGATGCTCAAATGCTGCTTCGACAGGTGGCTGCGGCCAGAGCTAGGAGGATATAGCATCTTACATCTATATACCATAATAAATATACCCCCAAAGTGATCTTCTAATCATGTTTGCTCTGTGATTGCCGAGTAGGGGCTCTGCTCGTCTCGGAAGTCTTGCAAAGCGAGGTGCTGCGTGTCGCACACCTCCGAGATGCATCGAGGGAGGCGTGGTTTTGCGGCTCTGCGGCTCGGGTTCGTGGTTTAATGTAGTGGCCGGGATAGTTGCCAACATAATTTCCTAGGGTTCCTTGATATGAATGTAGCAATATAGGAGCCTGATTAAAGAACGTCTTTATATGAATCTTACTATATTTGGGTTACAGGGCCAGGGTTTCTTAATCGGGTCCCTAATTCTAGTGTGTCCCACAGCCATGTCCTAAGAATGAAGGCCCCCCCCCCTCCCCCCCCCCATAGCAGCGACTTTTTCAAGTTCAGGGTAGTTAGGGCCGAGGATCCCAAGCCCTTCACTCTGGAAACCCTCCTTACAGCTTCACTCTCGGGCTTTGGCTAGGGTTTAGGGTTTAGGGTTGCAAGTCCGAGGAGCTAGTTTTAGGAGAAAGGTTATGTATGTAGCAGCTTGTAAGTATCAGGCACCCTCAGGAGAAACCCCAGGCACCAGAAGAAGGACTGCATTGGGTATTCTCATGTATATACTGTGCAGGTATTTGTGGCATGTCCGTACGCATGGGTGTGTATATTACATACATACGTACGTACATACCTACCTCCCTCCCTCCCTCCCTCCCTCCCTCCCTCCCTACCTACCTACCTACCTACCTACCTACCTCCCTGCATGCATACATACATACATACATACAAAGTGTACGTATGTATAAGTATAAGTTACAGTATAAGTATGTATGCACATCAAGTATGTATGTATACATACACGCTTTACCTCGCCAGACCTTGCCGAGTGCGAGTGCCAAGAAACGTGTATGTACGCATGTATCTGTGTCCCTATGTGTGCACACATGGATAGATGGATATATGGATATGGATGGATGGATGCGAGCATGTGTATATGTATGTACGTAATTGTCTGTATGTATGTATGCATGTGTACATTATGTATGTGTATGTGTATAACTATGTGTATATATGTATATTTAACTATTCAATTACACTTGTAAGACTCTCTCTCTCTCTCTCTATCTCTCTCTCTCTCTCTCTCTCTCTCTCTCTCCTTCTATTGCAGTACTTTTCTAGGCCATGAAGCCATGAAGCTTGTGTGCCCTACTTCGAGGCGTGGAGCCTCTTGATTCTGCGGCTCCACACAGGCCTACATGCGGGCTAGGTTTGAGGCTGGAAGAGTCACTTGGGAGTTTCCGAAAATAAGGGGTGCCCTGTTTTGGGGTCCTTATAATAAGGATCCTACTATTTAGGGTACTATATTAGGGTCCCCTATTTTCGGAAACCCCCACTTGAGGATGCCGGGAGATAGAAAGCATGTTGCACGTAGACAGCGCCCAGTACCAGCCCAAGCAAGCTGATGGGCCTCAGTGCCTCAATTCATCTGCGAGTATACCTTACATCGTCTTGAAGCCCCGACTCCAATATATAGCATATTTCAGATACAGTCTCAATGAAGGGGTGACATGTGGCTTTCGCACATGCACTCCTGCAATCAGTCGTGCTCTTGACAGTTGTATCTCCGGCCGTTGGGTTTAGTGAATTTTTAGAGCATTTAACGAAACCCTAAACCCTAAACCCTAACCCTAGATTGGCCCTAGATCCTCTAAACCCTAAACCCAAAATCCCAAAGCCTAGAGCCCAAACCCTAAACACTACAAGCCTACTCCAAAGTCGAAAATCTTCACAACATCGAACCTTCAGATCCTGCAACATCCAACACCCTATAATGCTTCAAAACACTGGCTCTTTAAGCTAAACCCTATTGTTTATCTAGGGTTAAGGGTCCCTCGCTCATGAAGCCTATGCTAAACTTTCAACCGAAAGTACTAAACCTCATGAGTCCATCCTAAAGCCTAAACCTCCACCTTATCCTAAGCCTAAGCCTCAACTAAGCCTGAGCCCTAAACCTCATGAGCCCCACCCTAAAGCCAGTGTCGCCATCGCAACTTCTGAGCAAAAGTCGCTACTCCATCCTTCGCGCACAGACCCGAATCTAGAGTTTGGGGGGGTGTAGGGTTGAAGGCTTAGGGCTTATAGGCAGTGCAGCAGTACGGCAGTCAAGAGATATCAAGAAAACGGGAACTTACCTCAACATCCAAATCCTAAACAAGACTTGCAGCCCTGAACTAAAACGAAGGTAAAACTCAAGCTCCAGAAACCCCACACACACCCGTAAACCCTTGATAACCCTTGAAGCCCCAAGCTTTCAGCCTTGCCATTTGAGGGTTGAGGGTTCCATTTTTAGCTTTACGGCTATTTCGGGGAGCCCAAACCCCCAAAACCTTTCTAATTTAGGGTTTAGGGTCTTTGGGGCTTAGCACTCATCTAAGACCCGACTGCCAACCACCTTGGAAACTCCAAGCTCCTGACCTCGAAGGTCGTACCCACCAGATCCGCGCGCACTGTTCTGCGCTGGGCCATCCCTTGGCTGCAGATCAGGCAGTTAAAGGGCGTTGGGTGATTTTTTTGGTTTTTGTTTTAAGGTTTTTTTACAAGGATTCTCTCAAGGACTTCGTAAGGGATATACCAGCGTGTTACACGGGTTTGTAGGGGCTAGGGGTTCAGGGCTTTAGAGTTTGATGCCAGCAAGAGTTGACGCTTTCAGTTTGGCGGCTAGCATGTGACCCTTGGTGGTTTCTGGCTGTTTCTGGTGAGCTCATACTGGATCTCATTAGTTCTTGAATGGGAGTTTGCCGAGGGTCTTAGGGTTTAGGGTTTAGGGGTTTAGGGTTTAGGGTGGTGGTTCGGCCTTGCGGCTTCCAGAGAAATCTCGTTGGGAGCATGATAGCTTCGAAGGGTCACGTTCAGATGCTTGTTTTGCTTCCTACCTAGTTCAAAGCCTAGGGTGAAGAGGGCAGGTTCTGGGGTGATCCAAGGACTCTGGGGCTAAAGGCCCAAAATTTAGTTTCACCATAAGTCCTTAAGGGTGACAATGAGCCCTGAGGTTTTTAGGGGAACCGTGAGTGATCTCTAGTCATCGGTTTCCACCCCGAACGCCTGGTGCTGCTGACGGTGATTCCCACGTGTTGTCCGTCCATGTCCTCGTTTAAGTGTTTGGAGTATCAAAGAGAGCCCTTGGGAAAATGGAATGCCGCTGTTATACTTCTCAGTTATCAACACTAACCTTCGGCAATCAGCCGTGCACCTTCGGGCCGCCAGCGCACGATCTTAAACCCTATCCAACTAGCCCGGGATCCTATAGCCCTATGAAGCCTATAAACCCTACAAGCCCGATAAACTCAAAGACCGCAAACCCCGGCACCTTCAAACCCAAAAGGCCTACGGAGGCAAGAGCCTCGCGAGCTGCAAGCGTGCAGCTTGCCGAACAGTAGAAGCGGTTTAGGGTTCCTTCCTTTGGGGTCTATCGAGGTTCGAGCACTCGGCTAAGGGCTTCGGGCTGCGGTTTGGTTTTGCATAGGTTTTGAAAGTTTTAGCCCCTATAAACTCGGGGGCAAGCCCGCAGGATTTCCTTGCCGTTCACTGCCTACGTCCCACCCCAAACCCACGCCTCAAAATCCTACGATGCCAAACCCCAGAAATCCCGAAGCTCTTCACAAATTCGGAAGGGGGGGTATTTTGAGGTCCTTGTAGCCAGGACCCTGCTAGTTCTTTTATTTGGGGCTCATATTGGGGCTCAGAGGTTTCTGACAGCCACATAGTCCACGAAGACAGGAGGGCTTAGAGGCCCTGAGAGCCATGGGCCGTTGCCGAAAGTCGACATTTAATCGGCTCAGGGTCTAGAGTTTTGCACATTGAACTTGGCATGCTCATGTTCACCATCATTTCCACAGTACTGTAGCAACTGCCATCCGGATGGCCTAGCCAGAATCGGGATATTTTGTGCAAATTAGAGCTTGAGCAGAGAGGCCAGCACATATTCATTCAGGCAGAAGTTGCCACTTCAGACGGCGTGGAGCTTTTAAATTAGCTATCGTTTGCCCGAGAGAAAGGAAAGCAAAAAACACCCGAACAAACACAAATCTAAATGAATGTTGGACCGATTTCCGATGGTAAGTTGGATCAGCATGGTCGCCACGCATCAGTGCGAGGTCTTCCTTCACTCCTTCCGGCTGCACTTAGCAAGTCGTGGGGAAGGAGGCTCCGACCGGGAACTGACGGGAGCAAAGCTGAATTCCAGCGGTTGCTGGTGGATAAACAGCAACCACTCTTCAAGTTCTGACTAAACCTTGAGCCGTCAAGCCGCAACTACTGCCACCAGACACCACCACCCACTACCACCGACCACCAGCCACTAACACCCACTCCACCCACCACTACACACCAACATCACTTCCTGCGGGCACTTGATCAAGTAAAACCCGAATACTAGCCTACAAAAGTGTTGAACAGATGCCGCCGGCTGGGTAGCTGCTGCCTTCTCTCCATTGCCAGAAGATTTGCGACAGGCAGGGCTCTCAGCTGCTATTCACCAAGATAGGGGCTTTAACCACCCTTAGCCCTACACCTACACCCGAGTGACACTAGTGTTTCGGTTTTGTGACGAGCTCCGATCCCCCAAGTAGTTTTAGCGAAAGCACGAGTCTAACAGCTAGCGAGAACATGAGCGCTAATCCTCAGGCCGTAGGACCAAGGACCTTGACTAGTAGTCGAGTAGGTAACCTTTAACCTTCTTGGGGTATTATAACTCCTATATATTCCCAAAGGTTAACCTTAGTTTGGACGACACAACTTCAGCCTTCGGGCTTTCAATCGGGTTGCACACTTTCCAAGGGCTTGGGACCGGGGGTCACAGAGACGGCAACTTGAAGTGCCCTGGTTCATGACCTCGGGGCTCCTCTGTGGATTTGTGTGGACGTCTTTGCGTCTTTCAGGATGTGCTGCCCTGGGTTGGGCCCTAAACCCTAAACCGTGTGTGCAGTTTGGGAAAGCATCCCTTAACCCTAAAGCGGGTAGCTGGGTCCGAGGCTCTTTCTCCGATGAGCTGTGAAACCGCCGACTGCGCGGCCACCCTGTGCACGTGGCTAAAGACAGCATCCGAGAAATAAAGACGTGCGGATGTCGGATTGCGGTGATTTTTCAGGCTTTGGAAGTTGAACCTTGCTTTCGTGAGACCTCTTAGTAGATCTTTTCAACCTAGCTTCATGTCTCTACACCTGCACCTCTGCGATTTCAAAATGTGGTAACGGATATTCTTTCGCATCTTCAAAGGTATCAATATCGTAGATCGTTGGGGCTTTGAATATGTCACCAGAAGCGCCTTTTTCAAGTTGATGGCTTGAATGGCGCACAGCATCTTGACGGGGGCCTAAACCCTGGGACCCTGTAGCTCTAAACCTTAGAACGGCGTGCAAAAATCAAAAGTGTACCCGCAAGAACCCTAGAACCCAGAACCCTGAACAAGGCCTTGTGGGAGAGAGTCGAAAGCCCCTTGTTCTTCCACGGCTCTGAGACCTTCGATCTCATGGGTTTAAAGAAGCTGCATCTTTAGGATCTATGGGGATTTACGGCTGTAGGGATTAGCTACATGATTAGAATGGGGTTTTTGGGGGTATAATATAATCATAATCAATGCCTAGTGAATTATGTGTGGTGTCCATATAAGGGAAAAACCCTTTTGTGCCTTGATAATTGCTACACGGTTTTGGGGTATGGTATGCTTCGAGTAGAAGCGGACTTTTGCTGAAGTGAATCATGTGATATCTCTTGTAGCTTCACATCACTGCGATGCCTGAAACATGCGAAACTGCCTCCGCAGCCGTGAGCGCATCGAAGAGAGGAGTAGGTCGTTCAGTGGAAACGCCCGGCGCACCATGGGTTTCAACATCTATGACGAGCTGCCGGAGGCTACTTCACCGTCCAGGTACCATGGCAAGTCCAAGTACCATGGCACCGATAAGCAGGTCCTGGCCGAAATTTTTCTGCAACATGCAATTGGTGGTGTCTTACCAGTGACTCCCTGGTATGCTGCAAGCAAGTCCTTAGCGCGCGAGTTCCCTGAGCAGCTCGGATGCTTGGACGATCCCGCAATCCTCGGGCGTGTCTTCCAGATGATCGACGACAACCATGATGGGATCCTGGATGAGGAGCGCCTGCGGCGAGAGAACTTAACTTGTCACCACCATCTAGTCACTAGTCGACCAAGGAATCCAACAGTTCTAAGTTCCCTGAGGGAGGTACAAAGAATAGTTGCAACGTGGCAAACTATAGGACGAGTTCGTGAGTGGCATCTACGAGCTTCTGCACCCCACTACCGAAGAGGCCAAGACACTCAGCACTCGCATTGCGAAAGCAGTGCTCCGACCAGTTGATAGCGACTTTGGTCATGTCAAGTCCGTCGCCATAATCGGCGCCGGTGTCGCCGGACTGCAAGTGGCCCGACGGCTCATGGAGATTGGGATCTCTTGCACAATCTTCGAGAAGTCCGAGAATGTCGGCGGCGTTTGGCAGAAGAACTATGCGGACTTTGGCCTTCAGGTTCCCAAAGAGCTTTATGAGTTCCCCGACTTCCCTTACCCTGACGACTTCAAGTGCGACCTGTTCCCCACCGGGCCGGAGGTGCAGTCATACATCGAGCTTTATGCGAAAACCTTCAAGCTCTACGAAGTTACACAATTCAAGACCGTCGTCGTCGAGCTACAGCCGAATCTTTGTCATAGTTGGGCAACGTTTTGCAATGTTTCGCGTTCTTATGGGTACCTAAACCCAATAAAGAATTAACATTCCTAATGCTCTCCCAACCATGAGCTAGGAATGGCGGGAAGCGCGGCTGGACGGTGGTCTTCGAGAAGGAAAAGCAGCGTTCCTCCAAAGCCTTTGACTACCTGGTGGTGGCCACCTCGGAGATTCAGGGGTTTGGGGGTTGAAGGTCCTGCCAAGGGAATTGCAAAGCCACCAAAGCACCTTAAGACGTAAATGTAGTTTAGGAACAAACCTCTACTTTATCCCATTTAAAACATGGAACCCTAAACCCTAAACCGTAGAGCACCGAGGTGGCGACTGGAATGTATAGTTGGCCACCGCACATGCCAGTGGCTCGAGGATCCTCGAATTTCAATGGCCAGATCCTTCACTCTTGCAGCTGGGTTTAGGGTGTAGGTTTTGGGGGTTTAGGGGTTTAGGGGTTTAGGGGCTTAGGGGCTTAGGGTGTAGGGGTTTAGGGTTTAGGTTTTAGGGGTACTGTAAGGGTACATTTAAGGGATCTATAGGGGTATCATAAGGGTTCATTGAAGCCATTTATAGGGATGCTACAATGGTTCTCTTAAGGGATCTATAGGAGTCCTATAAGGGTTCCTTTAGGGGTTTCTTAGATGGGGCTTTGGGATGTTTTGAATTTTCCCGTAGTTGGCTTAAAGAGCTCTTATTTACGAATGTTTCAGAGGCTTTCAAGGACCAGCCTAGGCACCTTTACCGATCGCAAGGTTGCATCGGGCAAGAAGGTCGTCGTCGTGGGGGGTGGGAAGTCTGCAATTGACAATGCCGTCGCTGCCGCCAAGGAAGGCTCCAAGACCACACTTGTCTGCAGGTCCTGGCATTGGCCAGTGCCACGTTACTTGCTGAACCTGGTCCCTTTCAAGTACGCGACCTACAGCCGCTTCGGGCACTGGTTCTTGCATCCTCACCACGAAGAAGGTGCCGCTGCCACATGGCTTCATGGTACGTGTGCTCCGGTGAAATGGCTGTGGTGGCGCGCTGTGGAGCTCATGTTCCGTGTCCAGTTCCAACTGCCCAGGAACATAACTCCTGAGGAAGGAATTGAGACAGACCTGTTCAGCGGTGGCCAGATCCTGAACTATGAGTTCAGAGACATGGTCAAGTCCGGGCAAATCCAGACAATTTGTGGCTCAATCGACAAGTTCACTGAGACAGGTGTCGTGCTCGTCGATGGGAGCCAGCTGGAAGCAGACCTGGTGGTTTATGGCACAGGCTTCGCGAAGAACTATGACATCTTCGATAAGGTCATCCAGAGCAAGCTGAACATTCAGAAGGATGGCCTCTACCTCTACCGCAACTTAGTAGTCGAGTAGGTAACCTTTGACCTTTTTTAGGTATTGCGGGTATTACAACTCCTATGTCACACCCCAAAGGTCAGCCTGTAGTTCCCCCCACCTAGGATACTGGACAACTAAGTTGAGCCATTTGGGCTAATATGATCCTCTATAGAACCGAAGCTGTATACTTTTTCAACAACTAAGGCAACATCATCCCTCCTCGCGTGCCGGATGTGGCCTTCATTGGTTGCGAGGTGGGGATTTCTCTTAATTAGGGTCCCTTTTGAGGAACCCAAAACAAGCCGGCGCCCTTATCAAAAGGACTCCAAAAAGGGATCCTATTTTTAGAAGAACTGCCCAAATTGAACCCGTAGTACCGTCTGGAAAGCCTTATGTGATCCCATTAGAAGGAACCCTGAAAGCGAGCCTAAGTTTAGAGAACTACCCAGGTGTCCACCTTCAACAACATCTTGTCGCAAGGGCTCCAGGCCACTGCCTTATGCCCGCCGCGCAATACTGTTGATGATATACATCCTGCATTACCTTAAGGACCCTAACCTATGGGAATTATTGCATATTAGTAATGCAGGATTTATATCATCAGCCGTATTGAGGGTTTAGGGCTTACAGTGTTTGTGGGGCTTAGGGCTTTGTGGATTTTTCCCGAATGTGCAGCAGAAGGGTTCTCGTTTAGAGGTTAGGGGCCTGGGGGCTGGGGAGTTGACGCGGAATCCGTGTGGAGCGCCCGCAAAGCTGCCGCAAAGCGTCCGCAAAGCCTCCGAATCCGCCGCTAGCAGGGGATTAGCCATGAAAATGCACCGTTCCGGAGGCGGCGCATGCTGTGTTTTTGCTACTAATCCCCTGCTAGCGGCGGAAATTCACTGCTCGCATGGCAATCCTTGTGTTAGTCCTTTGGAGTTTTGATTTCATTTACTACCGATGTTCGGGTGTTCTGCGTCGTCTTGGAAAGCGCAATCGCAGTCGGGCTCGTGGGTCCTATCAGGTTTTGTTCAGGTTCAAGGTTTAAATAGGGCTTTTAGGGTTTAGGGTTTAGCGGGTTTTGGGCTTATAGGTTTACGGGTTCCAAAATAGCGCACCCTTATAAACAGGACCCTAATAACTGACCCTAATTTGAATAACTGCCCATATGGTGTGTTAAGGGCTCGGACTATTACTTACTAGTAGGATCCCCGTAGTAGTAGCCCTAAGCTCCGTCTTGTTCACGGGCACGAAAACCTCAATATGGAAAACTCAAGCAAGGGATAGTTCGAGGCTCTGGGACCGGAGCCTTTCAACAACACCTTAAGCCCTAAACCCCTAAACCCCTAAACCCTAACCATGTGGAGCCTTGCCTGCTGTTTGCGAGTGTGAGTGTCGAAACCCTAACCCCTAAACCCCTAAACCTCTAAACCTTAAACC